CATACTGATATACACCTGAACATCAGCAGGAGAGGACTCTTTAAAGTGGAGACACTACATACTGATATGACCCTGAAATTCAGCAGGAGAGGACTCTTTAAAGTAGAGACACTACATACTGATATACACCTGAACATCAGCAGGAGAGGACTCTTTAAAGTAGAGACACTACATACTGATATACACCTGAACATCAGCAGGAGAGGACTCTTTAAAGTAGAGACACTACATACTGATATACACCTGAACATCAGCAGGAGAGGACTCTTTAAAGTAGAGACACTACATACTGATATACACCTGAACATCAGCAGGAGAGGACTCTTTAAAGTAGAGACACTACATACTGATATACACCTGAACGTCATCAGGAGAGTACTCTTTAAAGTAGAGACACTACATACTGATATACACCTGAACATCAGCAGGAGAGGACTCTTTAAAGTAGAGACACTACATACTGATATACACCTGAACATCAGCAGGAGAGGACTCTTTAAAGTAGAGACACTACATACTGATATACACCTGAACATCAGCAGGAGAGGACTCTTTAAAGTAGAGACACTACATACTGATATACACCTGAACATCAGCAGGAGAGGACTCTTTAAAGTGGAGACACTACATACTGATATGACCCTGAACATCAGCAGGAGAGGACTCTTTAAAGTAGAGACACTACATACTGATATACACCTGAACATCAGCAGGAGAGGACTCTTTAAAGTAGAGACACTACATACTGATATACACCTGAACATCAGCAGGAGAGGACTCTTTAAAGTAGAGACACTACATACTGATATACACCTGAACATCAGCAGGAGAGGACTCTTTAAAGTAGAGACACTACATACTGATATACACCTGAACATCAGAAGGAGAGGACTCTTTAAAGTAGAGACACTACATACTGATATACACCTGCACATCAGCAGGAGAGGACTCTTTAAAGTAGAGACACTACATACTGATATACACCTGAACATCAGCAGGAGAGGACTCTTTAAAGTAGAGACACTACATACTGATATACACCTGAACATCAGCAGGAGAGGACTCTTTAAAGTAGAGACACTACATATTGATATACACCTGAACATCAGCAGGAGAGGACTCTTTAATGTAGAGACACTACATACTGATATACACCTGAACATCAGCAGGAGAGGACTCTTTAAAGTAGAGACACTACATACTGATATACACCTGGACATCAGCAGGATAGGACTCTTTAAAGTAGAGACACTACATACTGATATACACCTGGACATCAGCAGGAGAGGACTCTTTAAAGTAGAGACACTACATACTGATATACACCTGAACATCAGCAGGAGAGGACTCTTTAAAGTAGAGACACTACATACTGATATACACCTGAACATCAGCAGGAGAGGACTCTTTAAAGTAGAGACACTACATACTGATATACACCTGAACATCAGCTGGAAAGGACTCTTTAAAGTAGAGACACTACATACTGATATACACCTGAACATCAGCAGGAGAGGACTCTTTAAAGTAGAGACTCTACATACTGATATACACCTGAACATCAGCAGGAGAGGACCCTTTAAAGTAGAGACACTACATACTGATATACACCTGAACATCAGCAGGAGAGGACTCTTTAAAGTAGAGACACTACATACTGATATATACCTGAACATCAGCAGGAGAGGACTCTTTAAAGTAGAGACACTACATACTGATATACACCTGAACATCAGCAGGAGAGGACTCTTTAAAGTAAATACACTACATACTGATATACACCTGAACATCAGCAGGAGAGGACTCTTTAAAGTAGAGACACTACATACTGATATACACCTGAACATCAGCAGGAGAGGACTCTTTAAAGTAGAGACTCTACATACTGATATACACCTGAACATCTGCAGGAGAGGACTCTTTAAAGTGATGTACATTTGTTAGTCGTAAACATAAAATACTGCCTATTTAAATATTAAAATGTAAATACATTTAGCTGATAATACTTCTGTACTTAAGTACGTTTTTTTATTCAGGACTTTTGCTTTAAAAGTAATTATACTTTCACAGAAAGAAAAAAGGAAACTGGTCATATGTAATTGATAATTTGTTTACAATGGGATCTAAACTCTTTAAATGAAATCTAATAAGGTTTAAGAGACAGCATTATCAACCTTTATCCACTAGGGGGCAGCAGATCTCCATCAGGCTGATTCCTCAATGACAGCGAGCTACTGTTCAAATATAGATAGTATTTCATTTAAACATTGCATTACTTGTTATTGATCATTCAGAGAAAGCTGTAATGCTCTCTCTGGTAAGAAGATCCATTTCCAACAAAACAATTTGACATTCTTATCAATCCTAACTGTACATTCATATGATTCATAGATCAATATGTATCATTATATTACATATTTGAGTACAAGGAGTACCTTTGAATATGTTTTTCTGATACATACCTCTACTCGCCATCTGCATCATTGAATGTATTAACTCATCAATGCATCAATAACTATAATCTAATCATTATAATCCTGTGTACTAATTGTATTATGTTTAGATTCTAACCCTCTGTTTGAGGTACAAGCAGGTAGAATTACCCAAAATATAACAAAAAGTACATATTTTTGTATCAGAACATTTGTTTATCTACAAGAGTAAAATGCTAATTGATGCAACAATACTATTATCTAATAATGTCATATAATAGTACATCTCAGATTCAGAATGACTACTTTTGCTCAAGTAAGATATTGGACTTGTACTTGTAATGGAGTATTTCATCTTTAATGTATTGGTACTTTGTTTTGTAAAGAATCTGAATACTTCTTCCACCACTGCGTATAAGTACTTTTACTTTATCACAGTTGTACTTCACTACATTATGAAGTCCAAATTAGGCTACTTTTGACCAGAGGTGGGATAAGTACTCAGACCTTGTACTTGAGTAAAAGTAGAAGTACTCAGACCTTGTACTTGAGTAAAAGTAGAAGTACTCAGACCTTGTACTTGAGTAAAAGTAGAAGTACTCAGACCTTGTACTTGAGTAAAAGTAGAAGTACTCAGACCTTGTACTTGAGTAAAAGTAGAAGTACTCAGACCTTGTACTTGAGTAAAAGTAGAAGTACTCAGATCTTGTACTTGAGTAAAAGTAGAAGTACTCAGATCTTGTACTTGAGTAAAAGTAGAAGTACTCAGATCTTGTTCTTGAGTAAAAGTAGAAGTACTCAGATCTTGTGCTTGAGTAAAAGTAGAAGTATTCAGATCTTGTACTTGAGTAAAAGTAGAAGTACTCAGATCTTGTACTTGAGTAAAAGTAGAAGTACTCAGACCTTGTACTTGAGTAAAAGTAGAAGTACTCAGACCTTGTACTTGAGTAAAAGTAGAAGTACTCAGACCTTGTACTTGAGTAAAAGTAGAAGTACTCAGACCTTGTACTTGAGTAAAAGTAGAAGTACTCAGACCTTGTACTTGAGTAAAAGTAGAAGTACTCAGACCTTGTACTTGAGTAAAAGTAGAAGTACTCAGACCTTGTACTTGAGTAAAAGTAGAAGTACTCAGATCTTGTACTTGAGTAAAAGTAGAAGTACTCAGATCTTGTACTTGAGTAAAAGTAGAAGTACTCAGATCTTGTTCTTGAGTAAAAGTAGAAGTACTCAGATCTTGTGCTTGAGTAAAAGTAGAAGTATTCAGATCTTGTACTTGAGTAAAAGTAGAAGTACTCAGATCTTGTACTTGAGTAAAAGTAGAAGTACTCAGACCTTGTACTTGAGTAAAAGTAGAAGTACTCAGACCTTGTACTTGAGTAAAAGTAGAAGTACTCAGATCTTGTACTTGAGTAAAAGTAGAAGTACTCAGATCTTGTGCTTGAGTAAAAGTAGAAGTATTCAGATCTTGTACTTGAGTAAAAGTAGAAGTACTCAGATCTTGTACTTGAGTAAAAGTAGAAGTACTCAGATCTTGTACTTGAGTAAAAGTAGAAGTATTCAGATCTTGTACTTGAGTAAAAGTAGAAGTACTCAGATCTTGTACTTGAGTAAAAGTAGAAGTATTCAGATCTTGTACTTGAGTAAAAGTAGAAGTACTCAGATCTTGTACTTGAGTAAAAGTAGAAATACTCAGATCTTGTGCTTGAGTAAAAGTAGAAGTACTCAGATATTGTTCTTGAGTAAAAGTAGAAGTACCAGAGTGTAGGAATACTCTGTTACAGTAAAAGTCCTGTATTCAAAATGTTCCTCAAGTAAAAGTAGAAAAGTATTATCATCAAAATATAGTTAAAGTAGCCACAGTAAAAGTAGTGATTGTGCAGATTGGTCCATTTCAGAATAATATATATGATATGTTTTATAATGATTGATCATTAAAGTGTTCTCAAAGCTGGTAAAGGTGCAGCTAGTTTGAATGACTTTGTATACTGCAGGGTAGCTTGTGGATTTACTCCAGGTGGAACTAAAGTCTGATTTAACACTTCAATCTCAATCTTTATTTATTTATATAGCACATTTAAAACAACCTTCAGTTGACCAAAGTGCTGTACAGGCAATACATATTAAATAACACAATGGGAGTACAATAATAAAACAATAATTAAAAACATGATAAAAAGCACAATAACTAGAAAAATATATATTTTTTTAAAAACACATACAAATGTAAAAATGTAATGTTCAACTAGTATTAAAAGCCAGTGCAAAGAGGTGGGTTTTTAGCTGAGATTTAAAAAGTTCACTATAACACTTGATTATATTTCACATCATTCATCCAGATCTGTAAAGTAACTAAAGGGATTAAATACAGGTAGTGGAGTAGAAGTACACCATTTACCTCTGAACTGTAGTGGAGTAGAAGTAACTGAGTATTTCTACAATGAGTAATAGTACTTGTACTCGAGTACTCTGTTGTCAGGGGGCGGGGCTTAATGCGCCACGCGGGGGGTGTCACTCAATTGAAGGGAGGAAAAAAAGAAAAGCGACTGAAGGGAGTTACCTCTCCGAGAAATGAGAAATGAGACCGGGCCGTTTTCCAGTCGGTGCCCTTTGCTATTAAACCAGGAAATCCCTACAATTACAGGGGGCCAAAAGAGCCAGAAAACCAGGGGGACTATTCGGAGAGGTTTGCCCCGGAAACAGCACTCACACAGCGGGCTTTCTGCAGGAGGATCGGTCGGTGCATGTATCTCTGAGTGTGTGTGAGTGTGTGTATGTGTGTGTGTGTGTGTGTGTTTACAAGTGTTTGAACCAGTGCCACAAACGAGGGAAGGATAAATTCGAGGAAGGAAGGAGGGATGGTGGACAACTCGAGCAGCAGTAAGGCACAGATGGTGAGTCCTTTACATTTATCTGGAACCAGCTGTGAGTCATTTCCCCCAAAAAACAGAAGCAAACTTTGATAGTTGGACCTGATGGTAGGTGACTCTTTATACTGATTCAAGCCCTTCTTTATGTCTCTCTATGTTGTAGTTCTGCCTGTTTGACGGCTTCATAAACATCCATTAGTGAGGATGTGGCAGCCAGCTAAAGCGGAAAGGAGCTGGGAGAAGTGTTCTTTACTTAAATAATACATTAAATATATAAAATACTCCATTACAGGTAGAAGTACTGCACTGGAAATCGTGTTTAAGTCAAAGTACAAATCAGCTCAATGTACTTAAAGATTAAAAAGTAGTAATTATGCTGAAAAATAGCCTCCATGTGTCATTTATTACTATACATATGACATTATTAGATAATATGAGAGGATTATTTCATCCAATAGCATTTTACTCTTGTAGATAAACAACGTTTTGATTAAAAAAACGAATTTAAATTTGTAATTTTTTGGATAATTCTACTTTTTTGTACCTTTTTTTGTTTATTTTTTAGGTTAAAAGTTCACAAAAATAAGCTAAAGATGTCAAATAAATGTAGTTGATGAAAAGTATAAAGTAGTAGTTGTAAGTATTGTACTTAACTAAGTACATGTACTTAGTTACTTTCCACCTCTGACATTTTTTACGTATTTATTTTAACTCTGGTTGACTGTTTTTGTAAAGCAGCTAATGCTAGTTTGAACATGTATGTGGATGGAGAGTAGGGACTACATGTAATATAACAATACTAGTTTAAGTATATTTTGCAGTACTGGTACATCTAAACATGACTTAATGTGTGTGTGTGTGTAGTTACTTAATGAAATGACAAATAACGTTAGCATTTACGTTACAAGTAGGTATTTCTTTAGTAATAACCTCCATTCAGTGGCATTGTTGTGACTTTCCATGCATCATATCTTGCTATAATTTCATTCTAATGTCAAAAGGACCATTTTACTGTCAGTGCTAAAACTCAATAGTAATTTGGACCAAATATTTCCACCAAAGGCTTTTAATGTTCATATGTTGGCATTACAATCCCTTTACGATACATCATAGTAATACTTTGTTAGCATTTTCATGCTTTTTCTCACATGGTGATACCAATTTATTGTGTTTTGTTGGCGTTAAAGCATTTTTGCAGGACTCCTTTAAAGACATTTGAGGTTGCTTTCATTTTTTTGCAATGGTTTGATCTGTTTTGCAATGAGCCTGGTGACATTACTGTGGTATGTCTCTGCTTCTACACATGCTCAGGGAGTTATTGTACACATTCGGAGCCCCCTACGTCACCACAGTATACATATTTTCTTTATTTATACAAGTATAGTTTGTTATTGAGATGCTGAGGATGTTCCCACTCACTCAGCTCAGGCCCTCAGTTCAAACATTGACTAAAGAGCAAGGAGCTTTTACTACATGAAGATACGGTTGGATTATCCATGGTATTTTCTTATGTACAAATCAGACTGCTTGGTTTCTAGTGTAGCTTTGATTTTTTTGAAGTGTGCAAGGAGCATGCATTTGTTCCTGTATACTAAGACTGTTAGAATGACTGTGGTCAGATATCCTACATCTTAAAACTGAGTTGAAGTAAACCTATGAAGAAAATAGAAGCTATCTGTCCGATACAAATGATCCAGCGTCTTCAAAAGCATCAAAATCGACCCACAATTCATCAAAATCAGTCCACCAGGAGTTCAAAAATGGCTATTTTCTGGTTAAAACGGCCATTTCTGATCCTGAAAATAGAAGAAATGGATTCAGCATCCTCAATTACTCCCTAAAACCACTCCAAAATTGTCCAAGCCATTTTCTTAACTGATGGTCACGTAATGCTAACTAAAGCTAATTAACGCAACTAATGCTAATTGCAACTATAATGGTGTAATGACATTTAGGTTGATTTGAACTCGGGTTGACTGTTTTCCTCTTTAATTAAGATATCAGAAGTTATATCAACTTTTCCTTTGGACTATTTTAAAGCAGCTAATGTTAGTTTGAACTAATGTATGTATGTTAAGGGGGAGTAGTAGGGCTACATGTAATACAAAAATACTAGTTTTACTACATTTTGCAGTAGTGGTGCAGCTAAACATTACTTGTGTGTGTGTGTAGCTACCTACTGAAAGGACAAATAACGTTACCGTTTAAGTAACAAGTGGGTCTTTTTTTGTAATAACCTCCATTCAGTGGCATGTTTGTGACTTTCCATGCATCATGTCTTGCTTTCATTTCATTCTAATGTCACTTTACTACCCCTACAGTACGTCATAGTCATATTTGTAGGTATTTGAATGCATCCAGTGGCTTGAATTCTGTGACTCGTTTCTCATATTTGGATCCTTTTCTCTCCTCCTCCACAGCCCAGCATGTCTCAGGACGCCTCAGGAGGAGTGGGCTTCCCTCAGAGCGGCTCCTCGGGGGGCATGAAGCTGGAGGCCGTGATGGAGCAGCTCCAACGCCAACAACACGCCCGTCTAGAGATGGAGAGGAAGGAGAGGAAACTTCGTGAAGCTCACATCATGTACGCTCAGCAAGTGGCCGCTCAGCAGGCAATCCTGACGGCAGCAAGAGCGTCTGGAGCGGCCAATTTCATGGGAAAAACCCTCGGTGTTCCTGGGGTAATGTTGCCTCCTCGAGTGTCCAATCAGAGCAGCGTCGACTCGGAAAGAGAGGATGATGAAGATCGAGGAGGGGAGGAGGATGAGGATGATGATAATGAGATGATGGAGGGAGATGAAGGCAGTGAGGAAGAGGAAGGGAGTGCGAGTGGTTTGGAGTTTCTCAGAAAGCAGACCCTCGCCTTGCAGCAAAACGCCTCCAGAATCCCTCCTCGTCCGTTTGGTAGTTATTCGGCGTCCGCCCCTCAGAGATCTGCCTCTCCACCAATCAGAGTGAAGCAGGAACCAGATGAGGGTCTTTCTCCAGCGGGACCCCAATCTGCAACTTCCCCCAACGGACAGGCCGACTGGGGCTTCGACGATCAATTCAGACAGGTACGGGCCATGGTTTGGCAACATTACATTACACTAAGTGCACGCATCATCCGTACTGAACAACTCAAGCAGCTACTTTCATACAAATACTTCAAGTCAAAAAGTAAAGTCAACTTAAAAAGTGTCTGGTGCTGGATTTGTATACTTGGGTGTAATGATAGACCCTCTGCTTTCCTGGAAAGACCAAATTGAACAGACAAAACAGAGACGGTCTTTCTGGGCGAGTAGACAACATTTTCTTCTGTTTTTCACATGTGAATTCATTTAGAAGTGAAATGTCCGATCTGTCCTTAAATCTAATGAGCTGCCAATCAAAACACGGTCCATTGTGCCCCAGATTAGTAATTCCTTTCACCACCCCCCCCCCCGTCGAGGGTTTACATGATCTCTCCGTTTACCCCCCGCTGTGAGCGTCTGTTTAATCTTGATTGAAGAACAAATCTCTCCCTCGGAATCTGTGTGAAACACTTCAACTCTCAGGAGACGGACGACCGCCGATCGGCTTTTGTGGCAAAAAAAAATCCTCCTAAGTGAGTCCTGGCAGAGAGCCAAGCTGGGTGAAATGTGTTCACACTCCCTCAGTGTGTGTGTGTGTGTGTGTGTGTGTGTGTGTTTGGCTGGGATCCAGGTAGTAGAGTCAGAACTGTGGGTGGTTGGGTCAGCACGAGGATTTTGGGGCGGGTGGGAAGTTTAGATGTAGTGCACAGTAGCAACCTGTCTCTCACACACACACACACACACGCACACGCACACGCACACGCACACGCACACGCACACGCACACGCACACGCACACGCACACGCACACGCACACATCCAAGTCCGAGAGTTTTTTCGGCTGCGTGCCAAGTGCACTTTCCCTTGAAGGTAAATATTGCCTCATCACAGTGTTACAAAACGCTGGAATGCCAACTGGGAGCCAAGTGGAGGGGAAGAAGTACTTATATTTAGTACTTAAGTAAAAGTAGAAGTACTCGGGTCTTGTACTTGAGTAAAAGTAGAAGTACTCGGGTCTTGTACTTGAGTAAAAGTAGAAGTATTCAGATCTTGTACTTCAGTAAAAGTAGAAGTACTCAGATATTGTACTTGAGTAAAAGTAGAAGTACTCAGATATTGTACTTGAGTAAAAGTAGAAGTACTCAGATATTGTTCTTGAGTAAAAGTAGAAGTACCAGAGTGTAGGAATACTCTGTTACAGTAAAAGTCCTGCATTCAAAATGTTCCTCAAGTAAAAGTAGAAAAGTATTCTCATCAAATATAGTTAAAGTAGCGACAGTAAAAGTAGTCATTGTGCAGATTGGTCCATTTCAGAATAATATATATGATATGTTTTATAATGATTGATCATGAAAGTGTTCTCAAAGCTGGTAAAGGTGCAGCTAGTTTGAATGACTTTGTATACTGCAGGGTAGCTTGTGGATTTACTCCAGGTGGAACTAAAGTCTGATTTAACACTTGATTATATTTCACATCATTCATCCACATCTGTAAAGTCACTAAAGGTATTAAATACATGTAGTGGAGTAGAAGTACAAAGTAGCATACAATTGCAATACTCAAGTAGTGTGTGTGTGTGTGTGTGTGTGTGTGTGTGTGTGTGTGTGTGTGTGTGTGTGTGTGTGTGTGTGTGTGTGTGTGTGTGTGTGTGTGTGTGTGTGTGTGTGTGTGTGTGTGTGTGTGTGTGTGTGTGTGTGTGTGTGTGTGTGTGTGTGTGTGTGTGTGTGTGTGTGTGTGTGTGTGTGTGTGTGTGTGTGTGTGGTGTGTGTGTGTGTGTGTGTTGTGTGTGTTGTGTGTGTGGTGTGTAGTGTGTGGGTGGGTGTGTGTGTGGGTGTGGTGTGTGTGTGTGTGTGTGGTGTGTGGGTGTGTGTGTGTGTGTGTGTTGTGTGTGTGTGTGTGTGTGTGTGTGTGTGGTGTGTGGATGTGTGTGGTGTGGGTGTGTGTGTGTGTTTGTGTGTGTGTGTGTGTGTGTGTGTGTGTGTGTGTGTGTTCTACAGGACATGCTGTATCTGAGCTTGATCTCTATCATGTGTCTGGGTTTTATTACTGGCTATTTAAAGGCAGATGTCTCCGGATGGTGCTTCCCTCTCTAGAGCACATTTCCAAATTTAGGGAAGGAGTGTGTGTGTGTGTGTGTGTGTGTGTGTGTGTGTGTGTGTGTGTGTGGTGTTGTTGTGTGTGTGTTGTGTGTGTGTGTGTGTGTGTGTGTGTGTGTGTGTGTGTGTGTGTGTGTGTGTGTGTGTGTGTGTGTGTGTGTGTGTGTGTGTGTGTGTGTGTGTGTGTGTGTGTGTGTGTGTGTGTGTGTGTGTGTGTGTGTGTGTGTGTGTGTGTGTGTGTGCGCGTGTGCGTGTGCGTGTGCGTGCGCGTGCGCGTGCGCGTGTATCGGGGGTGGCTGCATTTTTATTAGTATTGTATGTCAACGATGTTTCTCACAGGCGTCTGTTAAATTAAAAATAGAGATGTCCGAATGACATTTAGTACTTGCTGGTACCTGAACTGTGTTTAAATAAATATATATATATATATACCTTTTTGTATAAATAGTTGTTGTGTTATGTTAAATGTTTGTTCCCTTGTCTTAATATTTGTGTCACACTCTAAAGATATCCCTTCTTCTTGCTGTTCTCTGCTTGATATCACATTGAGGTGAATACGTGTGGGCTAGTGAAGACCTTCCCCTTGATTTGATCGACCCGGATGGACTTTTCTGTATTTTATAGACCAGGCGAGGAGACCAAGTCCGATTGGTGCATCCCGACAGTCTTCAAAGATCTGTGTGATTCTGCATAAGAGTTCATATCATTGGGTTTTGGACTGAGACAACCGCACGTTTAACGATCGACATGTCCACCAATTTCCAAAGGATTCATTAATAATGGCATTATATCCGATCGCTGCATAGACTCACACACTTTCTGATACTGGTCTCATATGAAACCACCTGTGGAGTTCAGTTTGTTGTACTGTGTGTGTCTCATGGTTCATAAAGGCGTCCGAGGAGTCTTTATTATTCTGTGAGGTGTTTTTGTCCGAGCAGAAGATCAGAGTTGTGTTTGACCGCCTCTCTATCTGTGGCTCGGTGTTTTATTTTATGATCAGGGGCGTGTTTCAGCCTGGGGGGGGGGGTTCTGGGGAGGCATTATGGGACGAGAAATGTCTCTGGCCTTTTTTTTTTGTTGTGTTTCCTCTCTTTTATCTTTCCTGTCATTATGTCAGCTCTGCAGTATTTAATGACGGCTCATCTCTTCAGGCAGTTTCAGGTTTCAGCTGTGGGGGAGGGGTGTGTGTGTGTGTGTGTGTGTGTGTGTGTGTGTGTGTGTGTGTGTGTGTGTGTGTGTGTGTGTGTGTGTGTGTGTGTGTGTGTGTGTGTGTGTGTGTGTGTGTGTGTGTGTGTGTGTGTGTGTGTGTGTGTGTGTGTGTGTGTGTGTGTGTGTGTGTGTGTGTGTGTGTGTGTGTGTGTGTGTGTGTGTGTGTGTGTGTGTGTGTGTGTGTGTGTGTGTGTGTGTGTGTGTGTGTGTGTGTGTGTGTGTGTGTGTGTGTGTGTGTGTGTGTGTTGTCTTCGAGAGGCCTGGCAGATGCCGCAAATACCGACCCCCCCCCCCCCTCCTCTTCTCCTCTCTCCTGTAATAATGTAGGAGAACATTTATCATGATCTAAAAGCAGTACTCAAAAAAGTACCGATGCATTACTGTCGAAATACTTCATGACAAGTCAAAGTACTGCATAAAAGCAGAGGTGGGAGAAGTACTTATACACTTGTATACTTGTACTTGTGTAAATATATTTAACATGTTCATACAAATGCTCAACTTTTCTTTCTGAATGCAATACACACATTCCATCACAACAGAGTGAATATATTGGGGTTTCCGACCGACAACACGAGAGATGTTGCCGTTTGGGCTTTGAGAGAATCTGATGCACTTTTTTAACAGTTTTATGACTTTTTATTGACTAAACAATTAATAAATAATGAAAAATGATCGTTAGTTGCAGAAAAAGTGGGATTGGTGTAAAAAATATATCCATTAATTTAACCATTAAATATAACATTGATTTAACGTTTACTGTATCGTGTATTAATAATTGGTCCAAGGACAAAACTGAGCTCTCTTTCGATGCAAAATGTGGATTTGACATCATTAATTTTTTTATTTGAACAGATTTTTCTCCACTTAAAGCTGGGGTAGGTAAGTTTGAGAAACCGGCTCGAGATACACTTGTTGTTATATTCCATGGAATGCTCTTAACATCCCGATAGCAATGAATATCTGAAGTGCTTTGACAACAAATCCATAAAAAATATCATCTGTGGAAGCCGTAGTACTGTAAAAAGCACGACCAATCATCTGAGCCGGCCCGGCTAAAATAACTGGACGGCCTACCTGCCTGTCAGCCTTCCATCTGTGCACAAACTTATCTCGTGCCCTCATTGGTGATGTGCGCGTTCGTGTGTGTTGGAGGAGGGGCTCTGTGAGGAAGTGGCAGATTTTCTCCGGTTGTGTATTTTCAAATTCTAGCGCACTCGAGCCGGTTTCTCCAAACTTACCTACCCCACCTTTAAACAAATCAGATGAATATCCAGAGCGTGCCTCCCTCCTCTTGTCCTCCTCTTTAGTGATTTGAATATTGAGTGAGGGGTCAGATTTGGGGACACAGACAGACACGAGGAGCTGGTGTTTTCCTGTCAGTGATGAATGTGTGGTGACCTCAACCCGGAGTAAATAAATGTCAAACAACGGGACGACAAAGGCGTCTTTTTGGCCTCCAGGACAGAGGAGGCATGACCTCTGTAATCCCACCAAAACCACCACCATCACATGGACCCCTCCATTCCCCCAGATCATCCCAGTGTGATTCATGGTTTTAATCGAGCTGTATATATGGTGGGGGTATATATGTGGGGATTGGGCTGCAGATGACTGGATGTCGTAACTAAAGAAATGTTGTGTGGGTGTAACGATTAGAGCTGCACCGTTAATATAAAATGTATTATTTTGTGTG